GAGAGAGAGAGAGAGAGAGAGAGAGAGAGAGAGAGAGAGAGAGAGAATCGCTCGTTAGAGGCGTGAGGGGCGCCATATGGGTTAGTAAATTTAACTCCACTCGCGAGAGAGAGAGAGAGAGAGAGAGAGAGAAATCGAATGCGGCGTAGAGCACAGACAGAAAGAAGAAAAAGAGAGGGAGGGAGTACGTGGGAAGTGTAGAGGCGCAAAAGGCCCCGGCCATCTGCTGCCGGCGGCCCTGCAGAGCAGTCGGTCTCATAGTCAGAGCCGTGTAGTCAGAAAATGCGCGAGCACCGACGAGAGGATTGACGTGCGCCCGAGGATGCTGCGGCGCATTGGCGCACACTTGTCGGTTTCGGCCCGACAATGGATCGCCGGTTTCATTGACGTCCGTTGGCGTCAACTCTGTAAAGTCACCTCTTTCTTCCTCTCTTTCTCCCGAGCGCAATCAGTTCTCTCATCCTCCCTCTAACCAGCATCTGACCCGCCGCATTCTCTACATGCTTCGCATTTCACCCATTTTTCCATACACTTAGAGCAAAAAATCGTTGGTCTAACTAAAATTATAGTTGCTTTTGACCCCAACCATATTATTTTTTGTAGTGAAATAATAACAGGACACATTAGAGAGATTATCATCACTAACATTACAGTAAAATTTAATTTAAAAAAAAAAATCGTTTCCTCTCAGCCATAATTTACAATAATTATTTCTCTATGTGATTGCAGTTACAAGTATTTTTTTCTCAATGCACAAAAGGAAAAGTTTGGTTGGACTAAACAAATGTCTGTTGAAATCTGTTGAATCTGTTGAAATAGGAACCAGAAACCCGGTTGAAGTTAGCAGAATTCTGTTCGAGTTAACAAGATTTCTAATTAACTTGAGCAGTTGTAATTAAGGAGAAATCTTGTTAATTTGAAAGCTGCAAGTTAAGCAGACATTTTATTAACTTGAATAGAATTCTGGTAGAGCTTCAACCGTAATGATTCTAATTCGTTTCACCATACATCTGGTTAATCCAACCGTTTCTTTCCGTCGTCACATTCCGCACGCGGAAAGCAAGGAGATTGGTAGTGCTCGATAATCGACGCAGTGATTACTCGCGTGACCCGAATGCGTTCGATCGCGGTGCATAGATACCAGTATCCTCAGCCCCGTGAATTGAATCCGTCAATGAATAGTCAATGAGTCCTGTAAACATCACGTTACGTCGCAGCCTTGCGACGTTTATATAATATCGCGTTGAGATCGAACAGTGATATCCTTCCCATTTGTCACGCTTTGCCGGTTAATATCGGCGATTTTTTATCGGGAATGAATGTATCTTTTCCGAGTGCACGTAAGACGGAATAATTAATAATTAAAATATTATATATGTATATATCGGAAAATAAGATCCTTTTCTACCGAGAACTTTAATCTCTGTCGCTCAATTCGATCTTTGCCGAGTCGACAGAGATCGTAAAAATTTGCGTCAAGTCACTATTTCCATAGACCATAATTTTCAGCATCATTGAGCCTTCTAATATTACTCGAATCGAACGCTTTCAGTCTTGGAGGTAACGTTAATCGCAGGAGCGAATCGCGGGTTTCTTCTATTCGACGCCTATGAGAGCCAAAGCATCGCCAGCAACAGCATCAACAACAGCAGGAGGGAAAGACAAGTGCTACTCTCCCCTTGTCGCTCTCTCTTTCTCTCGTCGGTCCCTACTTCTTTCTCAACGGCATCTGCCATCCGGCTCCCTCTCTCTCTCTTTCTTTCTCTCTTCGTTACACCGACGGCTGCAAGCGTACGCACGCACGCACGCACGCACGCACGCACGCGTGCAGGCGACGCCAGCACGCGTCGTGCGTGCCACGGAGCGAACGCAACCCCCGTATAGCACGTACATGCTCTCGTTCCTTTAACACAATCAACCTGTCCGTCGGTTTGCAACGCGCGAAAGTAGGAAGGGAAAAAAGCAGATGCGAGGAGGAGAACGCGTCGATCCTGTGCGTTCAGCGGCGCACGCGAAAGAGAGAGAGAGAGAAACAGAGGGAAGGTAACGTCCTTTTCGTTAATTGCGCACGTCAAGCGAGACAGAAATCAAAGTAGCGGCGAGCGCGGCCGGCCGTTCCCGACCTGTTGCGAATGCAACGCGCCCGGCGACGCGTGCAACGTCTTCCTCGACGACGAAGTCGCACCGACCACGGCGTTTCCCCGCAATTGCGCACACGTGCGCACAGCAGCGAGGAAGGAGACCGCGGGCGCACGCTGTCGCTGTGCGCGCGGCTTGCGCAAAAACGACACACGCCGGCACGTATTCGAAACCGCGCGTCGGAATTTGCAACGCGTCCCGCGACGATTTGTACCGTTTACGAGCTCGCGTGGTATGAAATCTCTTCGCTCTTATATCCACCAGCACCCGTTCTCACAGAGCCCGCGAGACGCCGCGTTCGAGGAAAAAGCGCGCTCGTTTACGCACACCCACGTGTATCAGGGGTATACACTGAGAAAAAAAGAGTGGTTGAATCGACAAAATCAGCGATCAGCAAGGAAGATCTTGAAGGAAATATTGCTTGTACTCAGCGGAAAGAGCAACTCTGAGAGCGCTCCTGATTGTGCATGTGTATCACATATAACACTGATTCTTCACAATACAGACATATACAGACGTTAGAAAGTTCAGGTTCAACGTAGGACTAGAATTTCGACCAACAGAAAAGATGACTATAAGCTGTACTTTCTCTAATAATTGCTAAATAATAGCATCTGAGTGTACGCTGTAAATTTTGATTATCCTTCAGAACATGACTACAAAAGTGCGCTGTTTTAGCAATTATTGGTAAAATTACAGCCTATGGCCATCACACTCGAGTTTACCCTATCACACATAACACTGATCCTTCAGAATATACAAATGCTAGATAGTTTAGGTTCAAAGTAAGACTAAAATTTCGGGGGTTCAAGCCGAGTCTTACCAATTCCACCATTCTTTTTCCTCACCCGGGTGCGTGCTGGTCTCGACGTGTTCGTGAACGTGTCCCCGCGGTATCTCACGACCTTCGAGAGCGAATCGAACGGGTTTTCGATCTCGTCACGCGGCGGCGAGTCCGCGCGACTTCCGCGCCAATTAGTCGGGCCCAAGTTACGGCCGACGAGAGCGAAACTATGCACCAACCCCGTGAAAGTTGCATCCACCTCCTTGCGCGGAGATAGCATCGCGAAGAAGCGCACGTTGCGAAGGGGCGGCCACTCGACTTTGTCCACGCGCGCAAACACGAGTGCGGGGGCTCTCCCTCTGCAATTTCGCGCGCACGCGAATCCCGTGTTCCTTATCTCGCGCGCGTTCCGCCGCTCGTTGCGGAGAACCGGCCGGATAATGCACGAATGCTATTAGCATCCCTGACCAGCCACGGACGGACGGACGGACGGACGGACGGGAGCATTGTTCGTTCGTTTTCGCGATGCCTCGGCTAACGAGTTCGCGGTCGCTGCTCTTGCTCCTTCTGCCGACTTACCACCGTGTCGCGGCACCTCGATCAATTACGAAACAGCGCGTATCCGCTTTATATAATTAATTATGTAATTAACAGTTACGAAGATATTCGTATATTAATATACATGTCCGTAAGACCGTAAAAATCTCGCCTTATCGACGACCCAATATTCACATTTCGATCGCGTAACGCCTCACGCGGGAGCTTAAGCGCGTGAACATTATGGACAAAATTACGTCACGAAAACGACATTATAGCCGACATGATTTTTCCCACCGTGCTCTTCGCAATTATAATCACACGTCGCGGAATGCGATATCATGTGGAACGCGCTGTACTGTTATCCGTCGCCACACGGTCGTCAACATTTCTTACATCCCACATTAAAACGCTTATGCTAATCGTCCGCGGTTCCCCGACAAAGAGAGAGAGAGAGAGAGAGAGAGAGAGAGAGAGAGAGAGAGAGAGA